GGACAGTCATGATCAGGAAAGAATTACCTCTTCTCTAACCAGAAGAGCAGAGCACTGCAGAGGGACACCCATCATCTTGTGCGGGTTCCATGTCACAGAGTTGGCCCTGCCGGAAACAAAGCATGTTTACAGGTGTGACACTCGTGACAGGCTCAGACCACTCAGGCTCTCCACGTGGGCTGCTGGAATTCTCATGCTCTGGACACTCTTAATGTAACTTTCTCTTTCTGCAATATCATCTCCCTTAATTCCATCTAGTTAAATCTTACTTATTCTCTGAGACCCACATCAAGCATCATCATCAAGCATCATCTCTGCAATCTTTGACTTCATGCAAGTCCTCTCTCACACCTACAAGACTGCTTCCCCTCACCTCCTGGGGAGGGAACTTCTCCCTCTATAGGGTCCCAGAGCTCAGTCCACATGGTTATCAGGCAAGGCGAGTATCTGTGCATGTCTTCGGAGAGACTGGGGAATCCTTGAGGAGGAGACTCATTGGATGTGACTTGGATACAGGCTCAGAGGAGACATGGAAGTGACAGTAAAATCCATGGCCTGTGCCTCCAGAGCGCCGAGGAAGGCTGCTCCTCTCTGGCTGAAAAGCAGTTTGGGCTCACCCCACATCCAGGACATCGCTCGAGAACCCTGGGAAGACTCAAGGAGCTGGGAAGATCCCATCCGTCTACTTGATGAATGGCTGGTGTCGGCCCACCATTCAGAGAACACCTACAGGCTGGATCTTATCTGAATCAATGAATAGATTAGTTCTTCTTCCCGTCTCTCCTTGGCTTTGTCTTAGCTGTCAGGTGTGTTTAGGAAATGCGTAGGGGAAAGAAGCAAAGGCAGCCGGCCACTGTCCCTGGAAAGAGGGCGAAGTAGCTCTGTGAATAAATGTCCTGTGGAATTGAAAAGCTCCTTCTGAAAAAAATACCTGCTTGCTCAGAACTAGTCAAGAAACCTGGGTTCTGAGCCGTCGGTAGCAGTGGTGAAGCAGAGCTCTGCAGGCAGGTAGTCGCGAGTTTGCTTCTAGGTTCTACCATTTCCTAGCTGTGTGACCTGAGCAAATTACATAACCTCTCTGTGCTTAGTTTTTCTTATCTGCAAAAGGAGAATAATAGCAAATAAGTTGGGTAAAGCGCTCACAATTTTTATGTGTCCAATACATATAAGGCCTTAACTAAGTTTGAACTTTGCTAGGTTTCAATGCTGTCTTGCCCACTGCTCCCCTCAGTAGAGCTGCCTGTTCTGCTCCCCACTCTGTCTCTGATGAATCTTCTCACCCCCCCCACCCCATACCTCTGGCCTGTACCCCAGTTCTGTATGAATAAATAAATCTTAAAAAAAAAAAGAATAGATCTCCTGGGGTGGTGGGGGAGGGAATAAAGATTTAATATTTCTTTAAATGAAAAAAGAACTTTGTTTTGCTCGTTTAAGAGCAAAAAAGAAAAATAATAATAGCTCTCCTAAAGCCCACAACTACCCATTACCGAATTTTCTGTCTCAACTGTCTCCCAGAGGGGCTGCCTAATGAAGATGGCAAAAATCTGTGCAGAGTAATTCTAGGACATGGGCTGGATTTATTTGATAAATGTTGGCAATTTATGAAAAGTAACCTCAGGCCTATTCAAAATGTCTTGCTGTGGGATTCAGTCACATGAGTTTTGACTAAGTGGGAGAGAACTGAAATCTTTATGTTGTAAGACATATCCTGGTGACCTCATTTGTACCTCAGACTCAGTGGACCTCAAATGAACTCATCATCTTGTCCACTCCTTGTCCTCCCAGATTTGTTCTTCCTCTCTGTCTCCTGTGCCTCAGAAGGAAGACCGCTTTCCCGCCAAACATCCAGTTCCCAAACCTCAGTGTTTTAGTTTCATTTTCTTCCTTTGTGACCCCTTGCACTTCTGTTTCCCATGTCTGGGGCTCACCCACTCATTGCCCTTCTTGCTGGGGCCCACTCCTTTTCCCTGGACCATCCTGCTGTGTGTCCTCAGCTTCTCCCTGGACCATCCCGGTGTGTGTCCTCAGCTTTTCTTCCTTCTACTACTCCTGCAACTAGATGCTGACTCAGTTGCTGCCAGCTGCTTCCTGGCTTCCATCTTCTCTCAAATCCAGAGTTGACTTTCTAGAGCACAGGTAGGTTAGGAGTCATTGCTCTCTTCAAACCCACCCTGACTGCTAAGGGGCTTCTCAGCTTTTGTTCCAGGTGAGAAATGCTGCGTTCTCCCCCCACAACAGTGTCTCCCACAGCAGTCTGGGGAGTTTCACGCCGGCTCTGACCTGGCTGGCTGGGCAGGCCCTTCTCCCTAGCCACTGCCGCAAACTCATCTCGCTCTACACAAACTTGTCTACAAGGGCCCCGTGCAATTTCAAAGGTGTGTCTCTGCTCCTTACCTTGAATGAACACCCTCCTTCCATTTCTGCCTCCTGGTGTACCCCTCATTCTCTGTGCTAAGCTCTGATGCCCACGCCCTGGCTAAAGCCTTCCGGTAAGAGCCCTGTTTAAGGAATCATTCCTTCCTCTATGCCAGCTTGGTAGCTCACTCAGCCATCTCTTCAGCCTTTACTTCTGCTGGTTGAATTTTAATGCACCGTTGATTGTCAGTCTTTCCATTAGATTCTAAGCCCTTTGCAATTTGGCTACACATCACATTCATCTTTGTGTCCTCTCTGTGCCTAGCAAGTGGTTTGTGAATAGTGGCTGTAACTGAATTGAACTGATGAACCCTCAGCTCTCAGGGAAGGAATGGGGGCAAAAACTGGTAATACTTCAGCAGTTATTCTGGAACCTTCCTCTGGGCCAGAAAGCCTAGCCTTGAGGATGAACCACAGTGATGGATATTACCAGTCAGCAGCAACCTGCTGCAAGGTGGGATTAAGGAGCAGCCAGTTCACTACGCACCAAAACATACTTTGGAACCTCGTTCTCTTGCTAACATCCTAGAAACTTTGAGAGTTAGTAAGGAAGGAAGTTGCTTTCTGAGGATTTGGTTGGTTCTCCAAAAGAATGCAGACAGACTCCGGTACTCCTGTCATTTTGCTCTGAGAATGGCACTTTGGGGAACCCCTGTGATGCTGGGAGTCTCCAGATTTAGGGCCAGGAATTGACCATGAGCTTCTTCCATTTTAGAATGAGTCAGAATGCTTGGGAAAGAGTAATACTCCAAGGGAGGCAACTTTCTTCCTAAGCTTGTATCCATGCACCTTTGGCTCGGGGTTTCATCTATCACTTTATTTGTTAAATAAAGTATGCCTTTTGCTAACAAGTCAGCAGAATGGCTCATCTGAACCAAGTGGGTGGCTGAGGGGTTCTGCCTGGACCAGAACCCCAGCCGTCCCCTCATGGCGAGGGCTTCGTATTCGGCTCTCCCATGTAGCAGACTTAGTTACAGTACGACTTCAGAACTGTGGTGATTAGCAAGGACTCTCTGTTCCATGATGAGTGTTCTCAGCTTTGCTCTTAAATAATAGTCTTCAGCACAAAAGCATGTGGGTGTCTATTTTTCCAGGGTGCAGGGTAGGTAATTTAGTGCATGTTACAGAATTGTCGGTGGAGACTCTCCATGGCTGTCAGCACTTAGAGCCACAAGTGCATTAATGGCAGAATAACAGATGCTCGTGGTTTTTTTTTTTTTTTTTTTTTTTTGGTGCCAGGCAGAAGGACTCAAAGAAGAGCGGGTGTTGCGTGCAAGCACCTCCCAGGTCAGTCCCAGAATGTAATCCTGTTCTCATCAGGTGAGCAGGTCCTTCCAAGTTGTTCTCTCTTTTTTCCCCATTGTCTATCCTGGTTCAGGTCACTGCCACCCCCCTAAGCGTCTGGCTTCACATAGAGCTTCATGACAAAGGCCATGTCACTTGGGAGAAGCCCTGAGGGCCAGAGGGAGAGCCTAGAACTCGCTGGCACTGCAGTGCCAGGCCTGCCTCCCACTTACCCACAGGGGCCTGCTTGCAGCACTGGGGCAGACTGGGGACAGCGGTCCTGCTGACACCCCAGCCCGAGGCTCCCGTCACGAGGCAGGGTGTCCTGGACTCAGCTCTGTATCCCACTCCCTGGCATCACCTGGCACTTCCTGTATGTTCATCCTCGTTGGTTGCCCTGAGTGACCAGGTTGGCAACTCTCCCAAACTCCAAAAGCCTCTCTCCTAATCCTGAAACAGAAATGATTGTGCCGACATATCCAGGGGTGGAACGAGAAGGAAATTTCTCCTGGGCAGCATCCGGCTACTTGGCTGGGCACCGTGGGCATCTGGCAGCCGCTGGTGAGTTAGGGTTTTCCTTACCGCCTGACGTGTAGAGTCACGACTACGGCTGAGCCTCCATGCTATGACCGGAGACCCGGGGACTCTGAGCTCCCTTTGCTCATGGTCCAGAGCCAAAACCAAGGCTGACTGTGCATGGTGTATTTCGCTTCTTTTTTCTCAGGATCCGAATATGTCTGATGTTGATCAACTATCCTCTCCGTTGTGTTTTGCAACTTTCTCAGTGTTCTAATGCTTAGTCTCTAAAAAACAAGTGGGCTTTGCAGCATCAAGCAGAGCCTTATTAGGAGAAAATGATAATGGCCATGACACTGTGAGGCACTATCCTCACAAAGATGTTATGTGCAGTCAACTGGCCTTATTAAGCCCCAAATGCTCACGTCAACATTGAATTACAGGTTGTATATTTGCCTTGCAAAAATTAGTTGATGTCTTGCTGAAAGCACTGGGTAGCATCTTTTTTTTGAACAAGAGAGCAAGCGATCCTCTCTCTAGGAAACTGGGATTGTCTGCAGGTTTCTAATATTTTTGCTATTTAGTTCAGAGATCCCAGAAATTCGCTCCTGAGTCCTCCGGTGAACCTCAGACCTCGGCTAGGACCGTCTAGCTTGAGACCATCTACCTGGATTACTTGATGCAGACTTTGATTTCCTTTTGTTATTTACATGTAATCTTTGTGAGCATGTCCCACACAGGCAAGGCACACAAGCGCTGCTCAGTGGTCACCTGCATTCCAAGAGTTCTTAGAAATTGGCTGTAATTTGCTTTTCACATTTAACTTTTTACACTTTCCAATGTTAACAAGAAAAATGTCCCTACCTCTCCACGCCGCTCAGTTTCCACTTGTGTTTCCGGGACATCAGTAATCCCCCACCCCAGGCTGCCTGAAAAAGGAAGATCAGACATGGATTGCTTAGATTTCTAATATGGAGTCTTCTAGAATCGTGAGAGTCTCCTCAATCCCAGGCAACTAAGGGGTGAGCCACCTTCCTCTGGCATTAGACTTTCAAAACTTAAGTTGGGGGGGACATTCTACCCCACCTTTATATGGGTGTAAAGAGTCAAATTCAGGACACATTTGCTCAGTCTACACAAGAAAGAGAAAGATCCCTCCCTTTCATCCCTCACCATGCAACATCTTCCTTAAAAACAGATGTCCAGATGGAGATTCACTTGGAAACGTTAACATACTTTGCATAGAAAAATAATCCCTGGGATACATTTATATAAAAAAATCTTGTGAGGATAGAATTCCTTTTTTGTTGTAAATTTCATTTTTTTATACTTTGAAAAATTAATCTAATTTTTCCACTATGTAATATTTAAAGTTTTTTTTTAAAAAAAGAAACAAAATAATGTTTATATGTACTTATGTCTATTACAGACATAAAGCATTAATGATAGCAAATGATGACTTTGATAGGTTCCAAAGAAAGTTAATGTCATTTGTTAAAAGGTCCCTTGGCACTAATTTAAGTAGAGAGCATCTGTTGGCTTACAAACATGCAGACATTGTTATTTTTAAAGTTGTCATGGTAATCCTTTCTGTGAATCAGCCTGCAAGGTTTAACAGGCTCTCCAGATGCAAGACTCAGGTCACTTATGGTACTTGAGTTTTTCAAGCTTCTCTTGGAGTCTTGTGTAAAACGAAGGGGCTCCTGATAGCCTAATGAATTAGTAATACTATGATTCAGGGATGGAAGAGAAGGTCGGTAATTGCTAGGCAGGAGAATTGTGGAATAATGGAGACTTGCCTAGCTGAGGCTGTGGATGTGTTTGTCTCCTAAAGAAAGGGGGATTAATTTGGTCTGAATACTTATTAAATCTCATCTCTGAGTTCCACTGTGAGTAACACTAAATTTGAGCAATTAACTAATACTAAAGTCTAAACTTGAATCCCTTCCATTTATCTTTTTGGAAACGGACACATTTTTCCCTTTGAAAATGCTTTAGTTGGCACAGCTTTGTAATTTCCTAGTGTGACTAGGCTTAGAGTCAACATAGCCCAAATACAATTTATCTTCTTAGCTGACCAAGCGAAGGGTCTGGGTAACTGGTGTCCATGTTTTCTAGCAAGGTGTCAATCCTGCTTTTCTCATCAAATATCCAACTCCTCTCTGACTTGGCTCCTGCCCTCAGGGTTTCCTGTGTGAACACAATTCCTTTTTACCCTGTTGATCGTTCTCGTGGGGCAGTCAGATCTGCCTGTGTGTGACTGGCCTGTGTATGCAGGCGCTATTCCTCCAAGAACCCTGTGGTTCACTGAATCGAGAACTAAGTGGTAGCAGGAGTGCTGGTCTTAGAAATAAGAGTAATGTTCTATTGGAAACATGAAGACTGAATCAGCCTCAGGTTGCTTCCAGGCAATGTTTTGTGCTCTGAGTGTGCGCTATTTGCTCTGTATAAAGCTTATGTGGAAAGAAGAGAGAGAGCAAAATTTCATCCCATAACCCATGGGCCAAACTTGTGCACGGACCCTTAGTGGTAGTGCTCAGAGAATACTCACGTCCACATGCATCCAGATCTTATACTTTTTGCAAATATCAGCGACAGCTAAGAGGGGATCAAACGCTCCATACACGGTGGTCCCAGCTGTAGCACTCACAAGGAAAGGAACAAACCCCTATGCAAACGAGAAAGCCCCACAGAATGCAAGATGGGTTCAAGGGTTCTTTTGAAAAGCTGATAAAACAAAGGCAAATTCTCCCCCGCCAGTACACTGGTATTTCTTGAACTGTCAGAAGGGTTAGTGACACCGTGCAGCCTGGTAGGCATCATGTCCACTCTCTGGGACACGAGATCTGAGTCGGTCTCTCACTCTGCCCCTGTTGTTTAATGAGAACAGATATTCTGGTTCTCCAGGCGCTTGCACTTGGACCCAGGCAGGAGCGAGCTTTGTGACACCCTCAGTCAGTCCTGTTTTCCAGGTAGATTGTTCTGCCCTTTCTTCCCTTTGTTTACTGGCTAGTCTTCCTGGTTGATAACAGAACCTCTAAGCTTGCTTAATCCCCCAGAGTGGGCAGGCAGGAGAACAAAAGAAGAAACTCTGACCAACCCATTATTCCTCTTTAGAAAAACTCAGATAATCTATTTGGAAATTTAGAGGAGAGGCCTCGCATGGCTATAAACATGAAATCATGGCTTTTATTCATCTGTCTGACCTTGGCTAGATGAACATTGATTGACATAATAGGCAGCTGCTGAAAGGAGGCAGAACGCAGAACCAGGGTCTGGACCAGCGTGCTCGGAGACTGTCCTGTTAGTTTCTAGGAGCTGAGGTTACAGTGTCAGCCTGCAGGTGGCAGCAAAGGTTTAGTGTTGTGGTTTTACCTTCCTGGGAGTATGGATATGTCTCGGACCAGTGTATGATGGTGCATGGAAAGGAAGGAGACTTGGTGATGATCTTATTGTCGTATGTACAGATGTTGAATTACAATGCTGTACATCTGAAACCTGTGCACTTTTTTCAGTAAATGTTCCTTCAATAAAAATATTAAACAAAAAGAACCAGGGAAATCTGCTGCTGAGACTTTGTAGGGAAAAAAGCAGATAGAAATAAACTGCTTCGGTTCATCATGATAAAACACCTGCGTTATGTCAGTGAACTAGGGATTGTTGATTGTAAATGCTAAGCGTTGTAGGAGGAGAGTTCCCAAAACTCATCCCAGGATACAAATCATCCCAGGATACAATTAGGCGAGCTTTGCAGGACTCTTTAGCAGGCCTTCTTAAAAGAGTTATACGTGCTTTGGGGAATCAGTTTTGTCAGTTATGAATCTAGGCAGGGAAAACTGACCCTTCAAATAACTGGACAGTGGTAACTCACAGGCTGTGTTAGTTTCTTTTTTGTACTGTGAAAATGATCTTTCAATCATGTATCTGATTCACCTCAACCCTCAGCATACAGGAAGACAAACGATTTGGGAACTTACAGAATCACTGTGGATATATTTACACAGCACCTGTCTATACTCGGGAAAAGAAATAACAAGTAGATGCAAAATTCTGTATTTTCACTATAGTTGGGAGGTTGAGGCTTGAAGCCTTTTCCTAAAATAAAGGCAAAGTCTGTCTCCACTGTTTGGGTATAGGAATGTGTAACCATAGCCTGTGATTTTCTGCCAAACTTACTTTTTGTTTGACTTCAAGGATCCTTCTTTCAAGATCAGATGGAATCATTTTTCCCCTGAAAGGAAAAATTGTAAACAGATTATAGATTTTCTTATCAGTTACCTTGTTATTTTTATAAGGGGCCATACTACTCAAGCAAAAGTTCAATGCTTAAAGGCTGATGATAACTATCAGTTCAAACAACTTCCTTGGCATTTCTAGAAAGAAATGCCATTCCTGAAAGATGCCTAAGTCAATTTCTGATCCTTTCAGGAAACTCCCTACCACACTCTGTAGAACGGGCACAGGTCCCTCACTCTGTACAGCTGCCTTTTTAGGGCACCCTCTTCATTTGGTTAAAACAAGTCTGCTTTGGAACAAAACTTAACAATGAACAGAGTATAGGAATTTGTATTGCAAATCTTGTCATGAATGGACCGGACCTACAAGTTCACCAATAGACAAACACCAAGAAGAAACAACCCATCGCAAAACATTTGAATGGAAATATTAAGTAAAGAGCTACCTAATTACATGCCAAATGCTAAAAGAACAAAGCAGATAAAAACCTCAAGGCTCAAATTTCAAACCTTTAGACAGACAGCCACTGAAGAGAGAATCAACCTTTTATCTTCAAAATGTTTCTTTCCTAAAATAAAAACTCAGGCAGTGCTTTGGTTATTCTAGAAGCCCACAATTACACCAATCAGAAGACACTCTTCATCTCTACTGGCAGCTAGGTATGCCAGATGTGTGATCTTAGTCAAGTTACTTAATTTCCTTGCGACTCTTATGCTTAGAAAGCAGCAATGGAGTTACTTCATGGTATTATGAGGATTCACTTTATTAATAAATGCAAAACTGGTTTAAAAATACTCGGCATAGGGCCCTCCCTGGTGGCGCAGCAAGTTAAAGCACAGCAATGAGAAGCTAAAGCCACTTCCGCATGAATTTGATTCCCGCCTGCCCCGGAGGTGACCCACATGGCAAGGCAGACCTCTCCTGACCCACCTGCTGCTCCCCTCAGCAGTGTACTTCGTGGATCTGCCTGTTCTGCTCCCCACTCTGTCTCTGGTGAAGCCTCTTGCCGCCCCTGAGCCTCTGGCCTGTACCCCAGTTCTGTATGCACAAATAAATAAATCTTTAAAAAAAAAATACTTGGCATAGAGGAGTCATCTAGTAATTGGTAGCTTCTATTGTTGAGATTATTATGCACGGTGGCATTCCTATCCTAACTCTTTGAGATAATAAAATGGTCCAGGGACAGAATACAGTCATGTATCTGTCAACAGGGACCGCTATAGGGCGGTGGTCCCAAGGGCTAGGCTTTACACCTCTGGAGGCAGGCAGCTCTGCCTTCTAGGCTTATAGGGCTACACCCTGTGATGTCTACGCATTGAAGGAGTCACCTTACAACTCATTTCTCAGAACATATTCATAGCTGTAGTTGCATAGTACCCAAAATGCTTTCTTTACCCAAAATATCTCTCTCAGGTTGCTAAACTGGCTAATTTTCACACCAAGGGCATCGATCCAGGGATTTATAAAACACTTTGAAAAATAAAATTATTATGGGAAGGAGAGTTTCACACTAGCTACGTCCTGCCAGTACTGGAGTTTGGTGAGCGGGCAGCATGTGCTGGAATCTGTTGTTAGTTTAGCCATCCACCTGTGGCTATCCCTATGATTTTGGATCTAGAACAAGTGCTGGGTTTCTTCGTTACATCTTTTTGTATTGCCTGGCCTACCTTCTTGCTGAAATATGTTATTTTATTGTAAATTACTTTTATTGCATATCTCCATTTTATAAAAATAACCTGGGCATTAAAGAGTGAGTAGTTATGTTTTCTGCAATTTTCTTTTCAGGCTAATAAAGGGGTGTTGTAAAACAGTTGGGATGTAAGGTAGACATTAGGGCTCTGAGCACTAAGAACACTGATTGATGTGAACTTGTTTTCCAAAGAAAGGCAGTTAAAATGCAATTACCTGAGCAACAGTAATGAACATGTTACCAGCCATTATGAGGCAGGTTAGAAGGCAACAAGAGCATTAAATGCACATTTAGCTTGGCTCCCTTCAGAGCAGCCCACTTTGGAGAGCCTCTGTGAGATGAAGAAGTCCAGAGAGCCAGAGTGGGCAGGAGCTGCAGGCATCTGCCCCCTTCATTTCTCCCTTCCCTTTGCAGCTTGCCCCAGGGGGCCCCTTAGAGCTACTCAGCCTCCCCAAGATCAGATTTTGCAGAAATACCTTCACCTGCCTGGATACATCTCTCAGAGGGATTTGGGAACTGCATTTCTCTTTTACATACAGTTTTGCACACATTAACATTGCCACAGTATTTCTGTAGGTAAACCAGTAGGTTAAAAGAAAGAAGCCCTAGAAGGTGTTTGCAAATTCCAGATCTTACTTGTCTGCCACTCGCTGACGTTTGCCTGGACGGGTTTTGGGTGGACTGGCCAGACAGTTGCCCGGAGCCCGGCATGCCAGCTGGGGCTGCAGAACCTTTGTTTGTTGGGGCCACATGACTGAAAAGCAAGACTTTAACCAAAGGGAATGTTCATATGTTCACTTTAACAACTGACCAGACAGCTCGAATGGGGGCCTCTGGAGATATTTATGATCTTAGAAATGGCTGAATTACTTTAGAATAGTGGTTCTTAAAATTTACTTTGTGTGTCTTTAAAATACAGGCTTCTTGTCTCTGCTCTTAGAGATTTTGATTCAGTCTGTCAGGGATAGTGACACCCAGAAAAGTCATCCCACAAATATGTGTTAAGCACTGCTAGGATGCTAGGGTATCAGTGAAACTGAAGTTTTGACTCTCCAGGGCTTACATGTTTACAGAGGAAACCAGTCACAACATAGTAAATAGACAAATATATAACGGAACCTGCATTTCTAACATTCACCCCAAGGGCATTCTTTTTTTTTTTTTAAAGATTTATTTATTTATGCATACAGAACTGGGGTACAGGCCAGAGGCTCAAGGGCGGTGAGAGGCTTCACCAGAGACAGAGCGGGGAACAGAACAGACAGATCGACGAAGTACACTGCTGAGGGGAGCAGCGGGCGGGTCAGGAGAGGTCTGCCACGTCATGTGTTCACCTCTGGGGCAGGATAGAACTCTGACCCATGCAGCTGCAGCTCACTTGCGGTGCTGCTGCGTCCTAACCTGTTGTGCCACCAGGGAGGGCCCCCAAGGGATTCTTAAGCAGGTAGCCTGAGGTCCATTTACTGAGAAACATCACTTAAGACATGGGAATCTTTGCCTTGTAGGCAGTTAAGTAAATGAGTCACCTTCTAGCCAAGTAGTATTCATGCGACCTGTGCTTGGACCCTTGCGGCTCAGGGAGTGAGCAGGTGCACCAACTGTGGCACTGAGTTTCCTCTGCCTGCCCACGGGCCGGGAAGTGAGAGGACATCAGTGACTGCCCGCTGGTTGTTCTGAGGATCACAAGTGTCTGGCCAGGCCAGGCGTTTGGCTCAAGAGTCTCCTGGTGCAGCTGTTGCATCTGCTATGGCTGGTCTACGTGTGTTTCTATCACAAAAATGTGTATTTTTAATGTTTACTATCCAGGCTTTAGCCGCACAGTGAAGTATGATGGATGCTTCATAATGCTGTTTTCTGTTTAGTTGTTAGGTTTAAACTAGGAGGATGGTTCAAGTGAGGGTTGGTGTTTTGAATGTGGCTGATTTGTGCTGAGATTCCAGTCAGCAATGGATTCGAAAACTTCATATGATGCTGTTGGGTCAGATAACCTGATAAAATTGCCTGGGAAAAATTGTGTGATGCCATTTTGAGCAGCAAACATCTTCTTGAGGGAAGAAGCAAAAGACACATCACACTACTATTCTGGAGCTTGACCCAAAATCCTGGTTCCCTTCCTATGGCTCCGAAGGAGAAATCTAACTTACCAACAGTGGCGTGTACTTGGCAGCAGGAACCTCAGGGGGCATCCGAGTGGCCACATATTGGGTGATTGAGTGACCTGGGGCCCAGCTCACTGGCTGGGCTGAAACTCGGCTAATTCTACTTGACTTGTACCTGAGTAGAGCTTGGCTCTAGTTCAGGAGATATGTGTCCAAAGAAGGGATGCGTAAATCCTTCCCTTAGAAATTGACCAAAAAATGGGCGTTGCAGGGAAGTGCACTGGGCTATGGTGATGGCACACGGGTGACTTGGTGGTGGGAAGCCCATGGGAATTACAATTGAGATGGAAAAAGGCACACAATGATGTAAAATAAACTATTATATATATATATATGTGTGTGTGTGTGTGTGTGTGTGTGTGTGTGTATACATATATATTTGACTAACGTCAGGACCTAAACAGCAACACACCAGCAGCAAAATGAGTTACTTGTTTTAGAAGAGGTCAGAGCCCTGTGCCGTCCTTCATGAACTCAGCTCCTCACACTAACCTGACAGGTAAATTATTATTGTTCATACTTTGCAGAAATTCAGTTTTAAGAGGCAGCTGAACATGGCTAAGAGCTTCAGATGTGGAGAGAGAATAGCTGGGTTTCTGCCCCAGATCCTATGTTAATTATGTGTGCTTTAAGAACTAATTTCTTTCCTCATTTATAGAATGATGATAATAGCACTTGCCTCACAAGTTAGAGGGTGAAATGAGACGATAACTATACAACATTATAAAGCACTAAATATAAACCTGTTTAACATCCAGTAAACAAGGCACAGTAGACAATCGCATTGTTATTAACAGCTGTAGCACCATCAACCCTTGAACAGTGAGGGAGTTGGGGGCACCAGTCCCTCTTCCCTCAGTAAAAAATCCAGGGGTGACTTATACTACAGTCTAGTGTCCATGGGTTCTTCACCAGTAGATTAAACCATCCATCAGCCGTGGACGGCTGAATTGGTGAATGCACAAGCCAAGGATAGAAAGGTCCTCATGTAAGTGGATCTACACAGTCCCAGCCCTTGTGATTCCAGGAGCAGTTGCACTGGCATTATGGGACCTGAAAGATGTCATGGTCAAGATTTCAAACCTAGCATGGCCTGACATCAGAACCCAGATTCCTAGCAGTGCACAAGCAATGGCTTCCAAAAAT